CAGAAGAGAAAAACAAAATTTCACTGTCCTTGTTAGTGCAAGAAATAATTTCTCCAAGCAATAAACTGAGAACTCAGGAAAATATTATGAAATTAAGAACAAGCAAACAACATCAGCAAAGGAACATGCGTGATAAAGAGATCAAGAGTACATTCTAAGACCAGAAAACACTGAAGGTCATAAATAGGAAAACTGAACATGTTTGTAACATATGGTCTGGAGACCAGAGAGGATCCCCAAATCTGCAGTCAAAATTACTTTCATAACAACACTATGAGGTTATTTGCCTTTTTCAGTCTCATTTTCTTATAAGTGTGTAGCAAGGTGGTCAACTGTGCTGGTGCAGAAGTGAAATTCCCCCATCCTGGGAAACCCATGAGTCTCCCAGAATTGAGACATGTATCACCCCAGACTATACAAAGAGTTTCCCAAAGAAGGTTACAAGACATGTGATATTACAACAGATTGAATACAGAAGTAGATACAAAAAGCCAGCTTTGTTTTCTTAAGCCAAACATTAAAGATGTATTTTCATAAAAATATGTGACACATCAAAATATGAGTTATTACTTTAAATGCTAATATGTTTTAAAATTGCCTGTTTTAATTTATAATATGGTAAATATAGTAGACATAACCCACAAAAACAAAACCTCTTTGAAATTTTTAATAATCTCTAATAGTATAACGTGAGACCAAAACATTTGAGAACTGTTGAGAAATAAAATAAAAAATACTTCTCATTTACATTTCTGATACAATTATTCTCACCATGTTACAGCACAGGCCTCATCTATGAACAAACCTGTTTGGTCACTTTGGAGCATACCCTCTCGATGACCATGGGATTTGAAAGTTGAGTGGAAGGTCTCTAATTGCTTCTGAATGTTAACTGTGGCTATTTTGACAATATCAGCTGCTGATCCTTGGACTGTTGTGTTGATAGCTTGACGCTCAGCCTATAAAAAACAATTAACAGGTGCTCCACGAGATATGCCAACATGGTTTCATACCTTCCACAGATCAGTGCTCACATCTGCAGCCAGACTGGAAAGCTGGACTGAGATGTGAACCTAGGACACCAACTATTAGGCTGCATCCTAAGAATAACAACTATAATGACCCAGGGCTCTAGATTCTGTGGTTTCCACATTAGGGCAGACAAAAATATAAGATCAGATTGCTTCGGTTTAGAAATCTTCACTACTCAGGATTCAAAAACTACATTGCACTTAGAATGTATTTATTTAGCTCATCGGTGCTCTAGCTGTTCTAGACATCATTCTAAAAGATCTACTCCACAAAATAATCTTAATCCTAAATAAATAGAGTATCATTTTTTGGGATGTGGGTTGGAATGTCCTAAGCATACCCTCTATACCAGTGGCCCCTTGGTCTTATATAGAGTTTGGCCCCTGCAGGTTTGGAGCCCTCTGATGTGATTCAGAGCTTTTCATGGGTTGCTGAGGCAAATCCTTAACTGCTAGTGAAAATGCACATCCTAGATCCCTGGGTATTCAGTTACAACTTCCTTGAAATGACTGCTATCAAATGCTTTTTAGCAGGGAACCATGCCTACTAAAATTAATCATCTTGGAAGAGTAGAGGAGGGAGTCTGGGTTAATATCCAGGAGTAATCTATATATGAATATAATTCCCAGTGCCCCAAAATGCCTCAGAAAATGAAAAAGGTCTACTCCAGGAAGGGGGGTCAAAACATGAGAGGTATTCTCTAGTTCTGTCACCTAAGCTATACCCAACTTCTAGTATATTAAATGCCTGCAATCTCAGCTCCTCAGGAGGCT